CTTCGAAATTAAATTAATAATTTTTAAAATAGTGAGAGGCGAGGGGACTCACTTTAATCCAGCACCCGAAAGGAAACAGTACTTACTACGTCCACGTCGTTGTTTCTGGATAGCGCTAAAAGTAAGGTTAATACAGTTAAAGAAACCCTCGAAAATAGTGATTCCCATTTTGAAAAATCACTATGACCTTGAAATAACCTTGAAAATAGAGTTCAATGTCAAGATCAGAGTACAGATAGGTGACCCCCTAGGCCCCCTTTAACATTTGTCTGATTGTCCAATTTTACGTATTTGGCTTAGGTTCCGATATATTCAATTGGGAAATCAAAATTCGCAAACTTGACCTTCATTCGACCTTGCCATGACCTTGATTAACATATCATTTTGAACGTAAAATTTCCCGCTCTTTTCAAATCCGGGGTCAAAAATAGGTGTTCCCATTTAAAAAAATCACTTTGACCTTGAAATAACCTTGAAAATAGAGTTCAATGTCAAGATCAGAGTACAGATAGGTGACCCCCTCGGCCCCCTTTAACATTTGTCTGATTGTCCAATTTTACGTATTTGGCTTAGGTTCCGATATATTCAATTGGGAAATCAAAATTCGCAAACTTGACCTTCATTCGACCTTGCCATGACCTTGATTAACATATCATTTTGAACGTAAAATTTCCCGCTCTTTTCAAATCCGGGGTCAAAAATAGGTGTTCCCATTTAAAAAAATCACTTTGACCTTGAAATAACCTTGAAAATCGAGTTCAAAGTCAAGGTTCTTGGTACCATTACGTGACCCTCTCTGTTCCCTTCTACTTTTGTCTGGACCATTTTTCTCTATCTGACTTAGATTACGAGAAATTCAGATCGGGAGATTAAAATGGCCCACCGTGTATATAGATGTAGTATTTTTCTTACATATATATTTTGTTCCTGTCTAAAAAGCCGTTCAATTAAAGCATTTCTTATAATTAAACCATCTCCAGGTTGCCAGTGAAGTTGAAAAACTGGAACTTCGTTATTTATATTTTCAGCTTCTATTTCTTCTTCTTCTTCTTCTTCTTCTTCTTCTTCTTCCAAATAATCATTTAAAATCAGTGCTAAATTTTACAAAATAGCACATGCTACAACAATTGTTATGGATGTCAATAATTTTGCGCTCAATCCTTTGGACAAGCACGGAAATCTGCGTTTCCAAACGCCGAAAGTCCTCTCAACAATTCCTCTTGTCCTATTATGGATTATGTTGTAACTGCAAAAAAGTTTGTATATATAAATTCTTTATGTTGTGTGTGCGGGCACATACGTACGTGCATGAATGTGCAGACGTGTGTGGCATTAGTGAATCATATCTTTATTTAATATTATCTTAATCATGTGTAACAACATCTAATTGTAATTTTATAAAAATGAAAAAGATATAAAATGATGAAATTATCGTTATTAATGTTATGTTTATTAATAATTAATATTTTACATATATTTTTTACTATTTACCTCGTAATGTATGATCAATGATCTATTTAGTACAATATAATTATTGCTGTTATTACTATAGAATTAGACAAACCTTATTTCTTCATCGGTAACAGGATTATTAATCGGCGTAAGCAAAAATGGCAACAAAAGGTATCCAGCATCACCGACGAGCATTCCGTTTAATTTGCGTTCTCTGTACCGTATGTATATGCGTAAGTTTTGAAACATTCGGCTATCATGCTCACTTCCTGGCCATTCTGGAACAATATCTAGTATTTCAGTACGCGGTACAACAACCTATAAAAGTAAACAGTTACAATGAAAATACTTTTGAAGCTTCTACGGATATTTTCTTGAAGAAAATAAGTTCGCATATTATCTGAAGACGAATGTCTTTAGACATCCTTAAATGCCAACGTTTCGTGAATATTGTAGTTCGCTTCATTAGAGCGAGAGGCGGCCTGATAGTGTCTTTAAGGATCAGAATGCTCTTTACCTTGAAGAAGTGAATTTCAATGTTTATAAAACTTCAAAACTTTGGCATTTAACGATATCTCAAAACACGGACATAACCGGCAAAGCAACTTACTTCTTTAAATTACAATTGTGTTTGAGACAAAATATCAATAAAGATATAAACTATTATGTAAACAATATACATACATCCTTACATATTAATATTCAATATCAATATATAGTAATTTCTATTGCTTAACTTATAATACTATACCTGAACATTTAAAGAAAAGTATCCTTTTCGATTGCGATATACTTCAACAATATTTTGAAATCTCGTATGTGTTAACCGAATATGGGTACAATCTATTGCTCCATCTATTGAAGAGAGACCTATAGCTCCAGGACCACGTCCAAGCTCTTTAAATAAACGTCTGCTTTCAGAGCATGCTTCATCAGACATTGGTATTTTTATATATCTTTGAATGTTACTTGCTATTAGATAAGAAATTCGAAAAATGATTCGTAATATTGTAGATTGTGAAATTTTTATCACATCGCCCATAACGAGCTGCAAAAATAAAATTTTTATATTAATTTCAATTATATTATAAAAATTACATATATTATATAATTCATTATTAAAAAATGATTAATTTCAAAAAACATTGGTAAAATTATATATATATATATATATATATATATATATATATATATATATA